GTGAACCCATTTTACAATCACTCCTTCAGTAAGCCTATCCTTAATGATGAGAGCCTCAAGCATAGTTCGATATTCAGTACATTGGGGGATAGATGTCTTTTGCAAGAGGTCATACAATGATTTACAGTCTACAATAGCATATGCCTTGGGCAGTGTAGGTGTAGCCAATGCTTGGTCGGGTTGTTGCCATTTGAGTGTCGGCGACACCATCCATGCCCAATGAAGGCGTGTCCAGCTCAAAAGGTCGAGTGCTCCAGACAAAGCATATGTCTCGGAAGCTAGTGTGCTACCAACAAGAGAGATCTTTTTCGAATACCAGGCCAATGGACTGGTGGGCGCTGCGATGTCCTGATCAATCTGTTCATTGGTCGTGAGGATCAAACACCCTTTCTGTGAATGTGCCTTCTCTCTGGATGCAAAAGCGGCATCTGAAAAGGAAACGAATCGAATTTGTGAGATTGGTATTGGCCTATATCTTACAAAGACGTCGGCGTATCTCTTAGCTTCATGAAGCAATTTATTTCCAGTTAAAAGGTCTTGAACAGTAGCAACTGGAATACGAGCTTGTAGCAAACTAAGTTTGCACGAGAGATCAGGTCGGGTATTAGATGCAGCATATTGTAGGCTTCCTATTAGGCCTCGAAGAGCTTGCAGCTCATTGGGAGTCACTGTTGCTTTCATATCACTTCGACGTTCTCTGGCGACCTGGATGCTAGATATATCTTGGATATATTCTTTTTGGTCAACAAAAATTTCATGATTAGCTTCTTGTCGGATGTGAAGGCCTGTGAAAGTCATGTCTCTTTTTCTGTGGCTTCCGAATGGATACTTGGCTTCTAGTTTCTTCAGCTGGGCGTGAAACACAGTGTCACCTCCACCGATCCCGTCATCGACGTGGATTCCAAGTATACCATGTATGCCTGTTGAGTGCTCGGCAGGATTTTGGTGATCAGACTTCTTGAGCAACACAAACACACAGGGGTCCATGGGGGACATTTGGAAACCTAAGGACAACAGTGTTCCTTTCAACTCATGGTACCACAGTATTGGAGCGTTGATTAGGCCATAGGCTGATTTCAACAGTTCACACACTTCGTGCTCCCGAAGCTTCATCTTACTCCGCATTTCCGGAGGTGGTTCAATCCCAAGCACCCGGTTGTCTTGGCGACTGCCCCGCAAGAATGCGGTCTTGATATCAAATGAGTTCAGTTCCCATTTGGCACTGGCCAGGACTTGGAGTATGAGGGACCGACTGTCCCGACCCAGGGTGGGTGCATCCCGTTCGAGTGTCTCGATGGCCGGATCTTCAAATCCAAGGATGACCAACCTCGCCTTGGCCTTTTTGTCTCGTCCGGTGGCGACTTGTGAGGGTCAAGGGGTTTCCATGTTAGAACCCATCTGGTGCGGAGGATCTGCTCTTCGGGTATTTGGTTCCTGGCAATTCGTCTAACTGTTTCAGTAGCTAATGATTGGTCTACTTCTTTCCCTTTTGCTTCAAGCATTTCTTGCAATTCATTACCCTTTAGGTCTTGCATCTTCACTTCTACTTTCTGTCTTTTGGCCTGCGAAGCTAAGAAGGCTACTTGATCTGCATATTGTTTGGAACAACACTGTTGAAGTTCTTCGGCGCTGAAGGCGATTTCCACCTTGAAACAGAATTGTTCATTTTCTGCTTCTACATGATATGTTTGTTCTGCTTGTTGCTGCACTGGGTGATCATCAGGTGGAGTTCTGAGGTCTTTGAGGAATATGGTTTTACCAGTCCAGATTTCTGGCATGCTCCGATGGGCCTCAATCCTGTTGAACCATTGGTCTTTCATATCCAAAACATTTCCGTCTCTATATTTTCCTTGGGTGATTCGAGTTCCTAGGTCTTTGAGGGGCCACGGACATCGAAAGCAGTTGGATGGGACGAAAAGTTGAAGCCGTGGTTTGACATGATGCCGGATCAAACAGTGTTCTCTGGCTTCCCAAAAATCTTCGACTTGGTCTTGGGCAACTAGTTCATCACCTTCTTCTATGGGGATGGGAACATTGCTGGGGTCTATGAGTTCGTCAGGATTACCCACACTCACGGCCTGGGAAGGAACGCTTGGTGCGTTCTCGGGCTCGGCATCAGGCTGCAGCTCTGAGTGAACACTATTCGGAATTCCGGTCGTGTCCGGCATGTGAACATCACCTGGTTCAAGATTGGTTTCAACGCTAGGTCCACTGGAATGTGGTGCACTTGGGATTACGATGCCCTCTGGATCTGATGGCCTGGCGGGCGCTGAGCTCGAACTCAGTGTCGTGCTGTTTGGAGTCTCGGTCAGTTGATGATATTGGAAGACTCCGGCTCCTGGTCGAAGGTCATCTTTGTCGCTCTGGTCTTGTGATTTCAGGGATCCGTATTCTCGTGTGGATAGGGCTCGAACATGTTCTGGTGCACATCGAATGAGCCGTGTCAAGTGGCTCAACCAGAGAATGCCAGGGACATCAACCATTAGGACCTTTGCCGGACCTTGCCATCGATTATTCTTCCAGTACATTACCCAGTCTCCTACTTGGTGAAGGCATCGATTTGGTCTGGAACGACCACGCAGGGCGCGTCTCAGTTCACTGCAGTTGTCTGCTCGGACAAAGGCTCTGCGGGCAGCTTCACGAATTTCCAGCTGGTCTCGGAATTGAGCAGCTTCAGTTTGAAGTGCAGTTATATTTGAGCCATGTTCTGTCTCATCTACCACACTGCCTGGGAGTCGGCGACTTTTCCCAAGCACGAGGATCTCAGGTGTGTATCCCTTGACTCTAGACATGGAATTCTTGGCACTGCAAATTTGAACTAGTATGGATTCAAATTCCTTTTGTGATGAGAACGGTCTATCGATATACATTTTGTTCAACATGTTCTGGACGATGGCTCCATGTCGTTCTGCTCTTCCAAGCTGCCAATGAGCGTCGGTCGGAATGACATGGCTCTTGATGTCATGTTCCTGCAAAAATTGCGCAAACCCCTCGCTGTTGGCTTCTGTGGCACTGTCAAACATTAGGGCCTTTGGCGGCCCAGCCCATGACAACCATGCTGTTTGAAAACAATGGATCAAACCCTCTGTCGTCTTGGTGACATAGGGGATGGCCACATGGAAGTTGGACGCCGTATCCACAAAGTGGAAAAAGAAGTATCGTTTTCCGTTTGGGTCCGTCCATTCTCCATTGTCAAACTGAACTAGGTCATTGAACTCTCTGGCCTCGTGGAGGTGACCAGGTCTGGCAATCTTTGGCTGAGATAGTTCATGACAAGTGTCACAGGCCATGTCACGTACTGCTTGCTGGACGGCAGGCGACCATCCGTGGTCAGCCAGCGCTCGGGCAAATTGTTCCCCATTCGGATGTCCGAGATTGACGCGCATGCGCTTGAGTTGGCTTTGTAAACCGGAAGGCAGACTCCGAAACAATGGACCATGTTTGACACTTGAATCACGGCTGGCTGTTTCCGAGACATCCCCGGTTGAATCTAGTCCTTTAGGATCAGTGTCCTGTGGCCGGCTTTGAGTGTCTGCTTCAGCGCTTGGTCCACTATCTTGGGATGACGGTTTCGGTCTGGGGTCTGCGAACATCGTGACGGCGATACGAGCCGGATGATCGATGCTACGGATCCTTTGTCGATGCGACACTTGTAACCACTTTTCCCACGATGTGTCGGAGAAAAAACTGGAGATGTTTTCGATCTCGACCGAACATCCATCGATGTGTTCCGGTGTTTGAGTCCAACTCAATTGTCCGTCTCCGATCAACCCCTTTGCATATGTCCACGGCACGAAGGATCATGTCCGGAAACACTTGTTGGATGGCCTCGAAAGTTGTTCCTTCGGTGATGATTCGTTTGCCAACTCGAGGGGCTATCTCTTCGCATTGACCGAGCAAAGCTTCAAGCAATGGTCGAGGATCCACTTTCCGGAGTGGCTCATACAGTGTCTCGGCCGGAGACTTGGTTTGGAGTCGTCGGCGTTTGGCCTCCGGCTCCCCTGACGGGTTATCGCCAGTGACGTGGCACAGGTCATGGACTTTGTGATCATGCTGTTCTTGGACTTGCAGACTGCAACGAATGATTCGGCTAAGGTGTCGGGCGAACACGTAAGTGTAGTTTTCAGTGTATTTGCTGAGCGACTGCCTACCCCCTTTGGGTGTCCAGCATGTCCCTGCGATGAGTCCATGTGTGTGCGTTCCGGTGCATTGCAACTGTTCCAGCTGGGCGGACATAATGGATGATGTGGTCCAAACTTGAGTGCGTTTCCGCAAAAGTTCTAGGCTATTTGGGTGTCTCAGTGTGCCAGCAACGCACATGTCACAAAGAACCCTATGGGTTGTCTCGAGTACTGGCTTCATTTCATGTTGATAGATGAGCTCTGATCCCTGGGGTTGTTCTAAGTGGAAATGGAAAGAAAGTCCACGCCACTGCTGCAGAACGCACAGAGCTGAGCAGAGCCGCAAATGGATGTTCTCCATTCGACGATCTTCCAAAATCCGCTGCGCGAGTTCTTGCGACTTCATGAGATTCAGACGGCTCCAACTGCACCAGGGACCACATTTTGGGGATACCCAGATATGTTTGGGTCGTTTCTTCCACAATTGGTCGTACAGTGCACAGCGACCGGCGAACATCGAAAGGTCGCCCTGGCGTAGTCCGAAACGACTGGCAACCAATCCACTCTGGTCCGCGGCTTGGGTCAAAGCACTATCTGATGAACAATAAACTTCGAGAAGATCAATCCCTGGTCGAAGAAGATGTTTTCTTTGTTCGTGAAGATCTGGAACCCCGAATTTCTGTTTCCAATACTGGTGCATTTCAAACAAAATAAGATTGGGTGGTTCTTCTTGGTTCAGGAAAATTTCCCAGGTATGAGCCGGATCTGGTCCACTTGTGGCAGTGTCAGTCGTGACTGCCGCTCTGCGCAGAGCTTCACACAGTTGCAATCGATCTATCGCCGGAGTGACCCGGAGAACCGATGAGTCTGGCGAATGCTCTATTGCAGTGTTGGCTCCACATTCAGATGGGCTGTCAGAAACTGCAACTGCTGCACGATCTGGGACAGGGCACCCTCGATGTTGGAGATCCGGTCGTTCTGATGTGATGTCTCTTCCTTCAGCATTTCCCACGCGTCGCTCCGAGGAGTGGTGCATGGTGATGACATGGGCATCTTCTCCTTGGGTTCTGGATACGCGGCAGTCTTTGGAGCTGCCTTGGATTTCGACATTGCTCCCGGGGTTGCAGTGTTTGTCCCCGTTGAATCGGACTTGTTTCGCCGTTCCAGATCTTCCGTGTAGAGCTGCACATAGCGGATGAATTTCTGATGTGGCGTCTTGTCCGAGTTCTTGTAAGTCGAAGTGAACCAAGCCACATACCGGGGATCGTCCCGGACTACTTCGCTGTAGCGCAGCCCTTTCTTCTCTTTCCCGAAGGTGATCTGCTGATGGCCGAGTTCCTCCATCGTCACGCGCATGAATTCTTCCTTGGCCGTCCGGTCCAGGTTGTGACGGAGTGCCGCCTGGAAGAGATCGGTCAGGACTGCGGGCGTCAACACTGTCACTCGAACCCAAGCTCGAAGTCATGGGTTGGGCTTCCGACTGAGTGCACCTCTGATTGGCTGAAGGCTCAACGCACGAACCGGTATCGAGGTCTTTCATACCTAGGAGTAGTCAGGTTTGACGTTTCGTTTGGTGAACAATTCGACTGAGTGCTGAGCGCGCAGAACAGCGTGTTTCTCAGGGCTCGGATTTGTCTGGTTCGAATGGCCTCGATTGGCCTGGGCCACAAGACTGCAAAAGTCTAGGAGAAACAGTTGTCGGTCAGTCAAAGTCAGCGGCGGCGAGTATATACTTTTTTGTCGGTGACCGGTGACCGGGCCGGAGACCGGTGACCGGGCCGGGACCGGGCCGGGCCGGAGACCGGATCGGAGACCGGGACGGAGACCGGGCCGGAGACCGGACCGGAGACGGACCAGTGACCGGGCCGGAGAGCGGTGACCGGGCCGGGGACCGGGCCGGAGACCGCGCCGGAGACCGGACCGGAGACGGACCAGTGACCAGGCCGGAGAGCGGTGACCGGGCCGGGGACCGGACCGGTGACCAGGCCGAAGACCGGCGACCGAGAAGGAAGTGGTCACTCCAACTTGACTTACTCTTTTGCGGGCAATGCAGTGGGAAAATTTAGACAAGGAAGTGGCCCTTCCAACTTCACTCACCCTTTTGTGGGCCATGCAGGGGTAAAACTTAGAGAAGGGTGTTGCCCAAGTTGACTCACCCTTTGGTGGGCCATGCAGGTGTAAAATTTAGAAAAGGAGGTTGCCATTTCAACTTGACTTACCCCTTTGTCACCCTTTTGTGGTTAATGCAGGGTAAACTTTAAAGAAGGATGTCGCCATTTCAACTTGACTCACCCTTCTGTGGGCAAGGCAGGGATAAAATTTAAAGAAGGAAGTGGCCCTCAACTTGACCCACCCTTTTGTGGGCCATGCAAGGGCAACGCAGGGGTAGAATTTAGAGAAGGATGTGGCCTTTTCAACTTGACTCACCCTTTATGTGGGCAAAGCAGGGGTAAAATTTAGACAAGGAAGTGGCCCTTCCAACTTGACTCACCCTTTTGTGGGCCATGCAGGGGTAAAATTTAGAGAAGGATGTTGCCCAAGTTGAGTCACCCTTTGGTGGGCCATGTAGGGGTAAAATTTAGAGAAGGAGGTTGCCATTTCAACTTGACTTACCCCTTTGTGTGGGCAATGCAGGGGTAAAATTTAGAGAAAGGAGTGGTCATTTCAACTTCACTCACCCTTTTGTGGGCAATGCAAGGGTAAAATTTTAAGAAAGATGTTGCATGGATAAAAAACAATTGTTGACTGGTTGGCCGGCGTTGGGGGGGCGGTGACCGGGCCGGAGACCGGGCCGGTGACCGGTGATTGGGCCGGTGACCGGGCCGGAGACCGGGCCGGAGACCGGACCGGAGATCGGACCGTGACCGGGCTGGGCCGGCGACCGGAGACCGGGCCGGAGACCGGACCGGTGACCGGGCCGGTGACCGTGACCGGGCCGGTGACCGGAAAACAAAAAAGTATATTATGTCAGCGGCATGGTCAAAGCCAGCTTGGGAAAACGGATCAGAGCCTGCTCAGTGTCAATGACGGCTCCAAGCTTGCGAAAAACATTATTGGATATCAAGAAAGGCGTCTGTGATGGAACGACACACAGCTTGACAAACCAATGAGCAAGCGGAATTGAATAAGCAAAAGTGCAAGTGACCGTGCTGTTGTTGCCAAAACGAAACACTGTATTGCAATCTATCTTTCGAACTTGGTTTCGAATCTCTTTGGGTAGTTCTTGGAGTAGTTCATGAACATGGCCAATCACGGTCTGGCTCGCCCCTAGGTCTACAATGCCACAGAACCATGCTGCGCGAACAAAGCTTCCTGCTCGAGCGGCTTTCGATCAGGAGACTCGGAGTCAGGGGGCTCTCACTGGGTTGTGGTGTTCTCAACAAATGCTTCAGGCTGCTTGTGAGCCTTTGCGCATGCTGACGGATAGGGTTCATGGCCTTCCCCCAAACACTATTCCCATCCCCTAAGTCCCCCTTAGAGGTTTGCATAGTGTCAACACAAAAAACTGACTGGCCATGTGAACAAGGAGCAACGAACTCATCCACCTCACACATCAAAATCATGTCGTCGCTCTCCTTCAGCATGCCTGCAGCATGAACGGTTCCAGCGAAGGCCGCATTGGTGGGCTTGGCTTCATTCTCAAAGCGTCGCGGGCACTCGGCTTTCCAATGCCCTTTCTGTCCGCGCCGTCGACATTCCGATTCAAGAATTCGTTGAGCCAGCGGTCTGCGGGACTTGCCAAAACCTTTGGAGAACCCGAACTTGGTTTTGCTCTTCCCTTTTCCCGATCCCTTCACGGGCCAAAAGCCACGGTTCTTGTTCCGTTCGGTGATGCGTTTCCTGGCCTCCAAGTAGGAGTAAAAACACTGTGCTGTCTCGGGGTCATTCTGGAGCACGTCCACCAAGCTGTCTTCAAACTGTTGGATCACTAGGGCATCTTGCTCGTTCTCTTCGGACAGGAGCAGGATGTCATCGTACCAATGGTCCGGAAACACGGCGTCATCATCTCCCAAGGTTGAGGGAGGTTCATCTTCTTCCATGACATTGGCTGCTTCATACGTTTTGGTCCGAGTTGAGCTCTTGCCGGATGATTGGAGTTCTGTAAAAAACTTCGAACCCAAAACTTTCAATGCAGCCACAACTTTTCCATATTCAAGCTGTCCATCAGAGTCCATGATGATCTTCTTCTTTTCGTCCATGAGCAGTCCGGAGTTGCGCAACAAACAATATGCTCGCATTTCATCAATCGTCACATGCAATGCCGCCAGTTCTTCGAATTGGAAATCGTGCCTAGCAAGATACGATTCGCGAGTTTCGTCGGGCCGCTGGACAGTTGAGTAGATGGCTCTCTCAAAACGCTCGAACTTTTCCTCATGTGTTGCTTTCCCCCATACTCCACCAAGGGTGGATACCAACAATTTGATGCCGTCCAAACTGTTCACCTTCAACTTTTTGGCGTCAACTCTCATCAACCGTTTGAATGCTCCACCTTCGCAAAGCATTGCCGCTCTCGGGGCCAAATGAGAAAGGTGTTCTGTAGGCCAGAGATCGGCCAAAAACTCGAGGCGTTTGGTGTACTCGTTGATGTCAGTTTCTCCGGGTTTGAATGCTGGTATCATACCCCAGGGTAAATGGGATAACGAACTCGATGCCATGCCGCCACCAGTGCTAGCTGAAGGGCCTCCACTTTCAGGCAGCAAAAGGTTCAAACGAATCTTCCTGCGGTCGGCGGTAGCTCCGCTACCAATGTGGAATCCAAGGTGGATCCACACTGGTAGCGACTCAACGGTGACC